ATCATAATCATCTCGTATAAACAACATTATAAGTAGCCATCTATTCTGTGAGTTTTCAGACCGCTCGTGACCGTGAGCACGGCTGTTATAACAGTTTGTTACCCTCTGCAGAGGTGGTGCACATTCACCGCGAGTCGTGATTCCCATATGCCCGAGTTAATTACTCCCATATCACTGCCAATGTGAGCAAGCAGGGTACACTATGAAGTCATTTCATAGGTTTCTCTAACAAGTTAGGACTGCTAGGTTTTCTTGGCAGGCGGATGTAGGAACCTCCTTTCCTATGGCACATATCCATCGTGGCTATACACATAGGAACAGAGGCAGTCCTATACCCAACGTGGCAAGCCCCTTTTGCGCCATAAAGGTAACCTCTAACAAGCTAGAAAATGTTCTATTACTGAGCTAAAGTCAGAGCCATATGACCCTCACGGTTGCACTGTCAGTCCCAGCTTTTGCCGACAGATAAGTCCTTATGGAGGGCCGAGAGCATCATGATCGAAAGTCATTTGCTCCATCGCCCTATAATCCAGTTGTTTAAAAGCAACTTTTACCTTTTCTTTCCATAGAATCGTTGTTCAATATGTAGCTCATGTATAGTTATGTTGAGCACTAGCAAACTACCCATATGCATATCACCCATAGGAGACAAGGAACATGATAATCAATCACTAGGATGTCCTTACGGGTATCAAAATTAAACACATGCAAATGAGTAATTAATAAAGGTGAATAGGCATCAAGTAGATCCCATGCTATACTTGCCTTGGTTAGCAAACTCCTGCTGGTCATCGAAGAACTCTTGGTCTCCAACGTTCTCCTCACCGTCTGAACGCGACCAACACGACAACATACAACATTCCAAAGGCATTCATGCAAAGCAAACATTCCTATAATTAGAACAGTACACCAACAGTATAGAAAACAAGATAAAATGTTTATGAAAAGAATCCACGTCTCGCTACGATCACGTCAACGCGAAGTTCACGAAAAACGGAGCTAAAACGCGAAAGTTATGAATTAAACAGGGTTTCCTATAGTACTTTATTTAATTAAACCTAACTATGAAATTTAAAAGTTGCAAACTTGATTAACAATGGTACTAACATATAGATTATGAAATTACGAAACCAACGCAATTTGAACGGGTCGATTCGGAGCTAAAACGACGATTCTATGAGCAAAACAATTATAGTGGCATTTCTGTAAATACTGAAAACGTATTTTGGACTAAAACAGTATACTTTACGTTTTCAAAAGGGGAAGCGTACTCTGGAAATGTGCTTTGGACTACGGGTTCAATTAGGCGAAAACAGGGGGGCTCTTAAGCAAATCTACCCGCGAAGGGGTATCGGCCTCTGAGAGCCGTTGAATCAAGATCGGGCGGCACGGATTAGATATGGGGAGGGAGAAGGTGACACCGGCACCAGAACAGTAGCAGCCGCGGCGGCTCAGCCATGGACGGCGGCGAGAGCTCGCCGGTGTGAGGGAAAACAAGGCCTACGGGCCACGGTGTTCCCAACCGAGGGCACCGTGAGATGGAGGGGGTTCTCGCGAACTCGTCCAGGCCAAGAAGGCGGCCGGAGGACGCGGCTGGCGAGGTGGCGGCCATGACCGGCGGCAAGGAGCTCCATGGTGTACTTGTCTAAGGCCCTAGAGGCCACGGTTCGTCAAATTGAAAACACAGAGAGAGAGAGAGAGAGGGGAACAAGGCGAAGCTCACCGCGACTTCAATCGGGGACGCGCCTGGCTCGGGGACAGTCTGTCCATGTGATGATGAGTGAGAATGGCATGGAACTTCAGCGCCATCATGGTGGCGGTTCTGATGGCTTCCTCGGCCCGCGATCGCGAAGAAGAGAGAAGCGGGAGGCGAGGGATGCGCGCGGGTCATGGCACCCTTTTGTAGAGGCCGGGCGTGACGACGCCACGACGCTGTGAGCTGGGGCGGCGGTTCCGACTTCGAGGCGCGAAGCGAGGTGGGGACGGCACGACTCGTGGGCCCTGGCCGTCGGGTGGGCTGGTGGCAAGCGATTGAGTGCTTGATCTTTGGTGGTGCTGGGTTGGCTGCTGTTACTGGCCAAATTAAGCCGGCCCAGAAGGGGAGAGAGGGAGGGCGAAGCGGGCCACAGGAGGGCTAAGTGGTCTTGTGTGGCTGGGAAAAAAGGCCACGGGCCGAAATGAAGAAGGGGAGGAGGAGAAAAAGAATTTTGCCTTTTCTTTTCCAAATAGATTTTCAAAAGCACTTTCAAATAGATTTTTAATTCATTTGAACTTTGAATCAAGACCAATCATCACAAAATAAATATGCAGCAACATGTATGCATCAACAGTTACTAACCTTATAATTGATTTTAATTCCATAAAAATTATTATTTCCCTAGGTTCAATGCTCACAAATTGCTTAAATAAATCGATTTGGCTATTTTAGGAAATGCAATTTTTTCAGGGTGTTACACTCATCCTTCTTACTAGTATCCGCGGCAAAAAAAACATTGTTGTTTAGAACAACCTAAAAAACATTAATCATCTATAACTTTTGAAACTCATGCTTAGGCCAAGTGATGAAAAGTTGACCGTGCATGAGCTATATGATGTGCATGCCTCATGAGTGCTCTATAATGTCAGGGTTTTGACTTTTGATAGTTGAACTAGCAGATGCCGTGCGTTGCTACGGTGCCTCAAAATTTTCAATGCAATAAAAATATAGAAAAAAATAATCGGTCCAGACAAAATTAGACTTGATGATTAACATATAAATACAACGGTGTTTTGGTTCGGAGACTGTTGGATGGAACTGCCACCAGCAGGTAATATTCTTCAAGATTCAATGACTCAACCATAAAAAAAAGAGGTACACACTCGTCCCTCGCTGAGGTCGTCTCCTCGCACTCAACCCAACAACAACATATATAAACAGCAACGGTTGAATTGTTAACACAGCGGCAAGAGTCTGTAGCACATGAGAAAAAAAAAAGGTTAAAATGCATGGAAAGCTAGGAGATCAAGGAAGAGTGCTACTTGAATGCAACTGAGCAAGAAAACTGCAAGAGACAACTTTCTAATAAGCACCAGGTCGATGAGCTAGCCCAGTGCTATAACAGTACTAAAGTTCTGGTTGTGTCAAAGTGCACTAATATTACAATATATACCGTCTTCGTTAGTTCTCTAATTTTATAAGTTAAAACGGCACCTTGCATTGTCCCAATGCAATGATCACCTAAGCCAAAAAATGTAGTATACTAATGATCACCTAAGCCAAAAATCACACCGATAACTGTAGCTGTCAATTTATTGGAATTTCTAGCATCCATACATGGTACACTTGAAACAGTCTTAATTTTACATTCAGGTCCAAAATGTATTTGACCTATTTTCTAAGGTTACATCTGTTTGCCAGGCGTTACCAAATTATGACCAAATACAAATTCCGGCACTACAGAAAGTAAAACTGAATATCTAAGCAATTGTGAGAAGGGGTGTGTGTTTCCCTTACCTCCCATATTGAGATGTCCGTCGGTTAGAGGACTCCTGCAGAGTGCAAAGATGCAACCTATTAAAACTTTTATGCAGTAGAAGAATGACATAAACATAATGGAGGGAGGAAATAAGTGAGGAAACACATACATCAGGCACAACCAAACATTGGTGGGTTAATATGTGCTGGTATGTCATCAGGTCCAGTAATCATAACAGAACCCTCATGATCTTTGGAGTGCGAACATGATTCAGTATGACTGGTGCTGCATTCAGAACTCTGATAGTCCCATCAATATGTTATATTTGCTGAAGCTTCCAATCACAGATTAGAGGGATCTAGAAGAGAAAAGGAGACCATCAAACTCAGCTTAACATGCATGTACATAAAATGGTGGAACCAACAATAAGATCAGCATTTTTTTTAAACGGTTCATTTGTAGCCAGCATGCATATCTAAGTCTTTGTTTGAAAAATACTAAATTTCTATGTTTGACTTTAATCCCTAAAATCCCAAACACAATAAAAGAAGCATTGACTAAAATTCCTCGGTTGTTCGTTCCCATCAATCCACACAGTAATCCAGGAAGCAGGAACTAATCGATGATTTAATTCATCTATGAAATGATTAATACTCTCCATTGACTAAAATTCAAAAAACAAATGATGTACACATGGATGTTTGAGAGAAGTCCTATTGGTTATAATATAATCATTAGCCACTTTTAATGACAAATCAAGCATTATTAATCTACTAAACACCAGCACGGCAGCACATGCAAATGCTTCCCCTGATCACAGCTCCAATGCGCAGCCCCAACAAACCACACACATCACCTAACAAACATCACAATCCCATCACAAGCATTGATCCGTATTCACCTTTGGAAAACAAAGCAATTTCATACTTCTTTGATCCGGACATACCTGGCTAGCAAGGCCAAAGTGTCCGGCGCTCCGCCTATGTGCTGGTCGTGGCGCCTATGTGCCTATGTGCCGGCGCCCCCGCGCTCTCCGCAGCATCACTGGCGCCTCTATGCCTTTACTATAAAATGATGAAGATCATCGTCCGCGACAAAAGAATCATGGGCTATCTCATAGACAGGAGTTGCTCATAATCTCCATCTCTGTTTGTTGCTCCCTCCAGTCTTGCACCAAAAGGTATATTCTTCTCTGTTCTGATGACTGCTCACCTTTTTTTCTAGGAGAGAACTTGAAAAGCCTCACTTTTGTAATAGAAAAACGACCACCTAAATTAACAAGGGTTCCTGTATCTGGACCTATCGGTGGTCAAGGCACGATCATCTCCCTCAACAGCCAAACTGGGGTGCTCAATTTGCTATCTTTAACCAACAGAGAATCTAATCCCTCAAAAATAGAAATACCACAGTTTTTTTTGTATACCTAGTACTTTTCAAATGGAATCGATGAGGCTGTTCCTATCCCTGTTATATGCATCTCGACGATCCTTCAAACTCTTAATTGGTGAGTGCAGACTCTCAATAGCCCTTCTAATATCTGCCTTGTCAGTCCAGCAGTAATTCTCTTTCCATATGCAGCTCCCTTTTCTCCAATAATGTCTTCTGGATCTTGGACTCGCCACAGTAAAATGCACTGTCAATTGCTAGGAGCCATGGCAACATTCTTTAATTTTCCCCAAAAATACCCAGGATTCGATTGGATAAAATATCTGTACCTCACTGCTCCTACAACAAAATGATAGTATCAGAGTACCTACTTTCTCTTCCAAGTTCCAAACTCACGATCCACGCAGAGCAACAGAGTATAAGAATCACAGTAAATCAGGGCAATCTAGATCTAAATCAGAGAGTGCGGTGGGACAGAGGAAGAGAATGGGATTACATACGTAGTGGAGAGACAGTGGATGAAAATGCGGGCGCTAGCGCTCTCGACGAACCTGGTAGTATAGTCCTTGTTGACGGTGGCCTTGTCTCCTTCCCCGCCGGCGACGCGGGAGAGCTTGTCCTTGACCAGGCGGGTGTCCTCTGTGCATACACCATGGCCAGGGGCGGCAGGGAGCGGAGCAAGGGCCGGGGGGCGAAGGGCTGTGCTCGGCGGGGATGCGGAGTCCGTAGGGGTTGCCATGCGGGCCGCTGCCCTCTTCTTCTGCAGCGTAGCAGGCCGGGGCGAGGCGGCCGGACTGGGCTAGGCGGCGGCGCACGGGATGGGGGAGGAGTGGAGCTGAGGGGCGGCCTTGCGACGGGACGGGGCAGAGTGCGGAGGGCAAGGCAGTGCAGCGACGGGGTGCGGAGCAGTGGAGGTGCAGAGACGGCGCGCGGTCGTGCGGACGCGGCCGCGAGGGGGAGCGTAGGAGGGGCCACCTGTCGGCACAGAGAAGATTGCAGGTGGGGCGCTCAGTGACGGCCGGCTTCACCGCGGGGAGTGAACGGGGCCAGTTTAATCTTTTTAGGAGTAGAGATTATTTAATATATTACAAAAATGGCATGTCGGATTTTAGGTTCACTAACAATGATGACTAATTTAGGTTCTACATAATAACAATTTTAGGTCCATTGATAAGACTGGCTCACTCTTTGGCTGAACCTGGCTCCTATAGGCCTTTGTGATTTATAGTTATCCTTGTGGCGCTCTTTTGACATGTTTTTGTTGTTTATTAAATATAGGTAGGGAGTAAAGAAGTTTAACATACCTTTTATTTGTTCACAGCAAGGGTGGACCCTACATTGCCTATCATCTCAAGAAGAGCATTTTAACCAAAATACATTCAAAGAGGTTGGCATGGGGAGAAGGGGCGTCAAATCTTAGCACAGTACAGTGAACTTCAGCTAATTCACGTTTAGCTAATTCTCCGATGTTGTTATTCCTGGTTGGCAATTAGATTAATTTCTGAGTGCGGTTCTTTTTCACAAAGTTGCTCGAATTGTAACTAGTTCTTTTAGTTTTTTTTAGTTAGACCCCGAACATTTAAACATACTTTTTATTGGGTGAACGGAAGGGACTTGTGGGATGACTATGTCGTTCTTATCATCTGTTCATGCGTTGCTTTTCCCCTCTCCTGTATCTGCTTGTAGGTATAGCAAAGGGAAACAATAGCAGTGTGTCTTTATCCTATTGTGTTTGTTTAAATCCATTCCCTTGAGGACATGATGGTTGCCTAAGTGTTCAGTTGCTAGAACCATCTAGCTCTTACCTATCACCAGGGGTAAACTGTATTCTCATTATGAATGAAACATGAAAGATAGCATTCTAGAATGCTTGCTGCATTCTTCACTTTGGATCTGCCTATCTAATATAGTTTTTTTTTCCTTAATATGGAGAACATATTTCCATTCGTAATAAGCTTTAGATTTGTCAGCAGAGACTAGCTCAGATACAAAATATGATGCTTAGCTCCAAAAAGAATAGGAGGCAGAAGAAACCACACATTCACCACAAGGGCACCTCAACAATAGAGTCAACTTGCTAGCTCTTACAGTAAGCTAGCATGCTAGTATAGAAAAATGTGTAAGCATAGACACATTAATCATAGGAAAGTGTACAAGCTTAACTCTTCGTTAAGAGCTAGCTTATCGTTATTTCTTTTTCTTATTGAATAAAGCATTTTATGAGCTAGCTCTTTGAGGCATACTCCTAGTTGGAGCTGTCTTAAGTAGTTACTCTCTCTCCGTCCCAAAATAAATAGAATCATTCAAAAGTTGTCCCACAATAACTATACTTTTAGGCTATGACCACATAGCACTAGTGTTTCCTGTTACCTTCTCCATTTACAAATAATAATCATTACATGTTACTATAACTTTTAATAGGGGGCATATATATAATTTTGTAGTAGCATTGGTCCCTCCACTATATCCTAGAAGTGTATTTATTTTGGAACCGAAAAAGCAGACAATATCTACTACCCTACTACAGGTTTTAGAGCAGGCAAATATGCTACGGTGGGTAATTCAGTACGTCAACTCTTGATTTTGCATGAACAATGCGTCATATCAGAGCTTGATGTCTATTTAAGATGCTATAAACTTGTTGCTAAGAGAAAACATGGGGGAATATATACGATTTAGCCTATCATTTTCATTATTAGTGCTATATATTTGGAGAGGTTCTTTTTCTTAAACAGGGCATGCCTATCACGCGGACATGCATCAGTCACCCTCTGAGGACAGAGGCCGGCCCCGTTTTACCGTCACCGCGATGAGATTGAATGTTGCGCGTCTAACTTGACACTTGTGGTTGCATCCTCGTGACCCGTGAGACGGAGACTCGGAGTCCCCCTACTCTCGTTGGCGTCGGACCCCGCGCATCTACACACGGCACTATCGTATTTGAGCATAAAATCTTTGGCTGGCTAACGAACTCCATTTTCATCTACACACTTACTAGTAGCTATCTAAACAACTCATTTTATCGTTCAACCATGAATAAAATTTTGCCTCAAATTGCTTCTTCAAACTATTTTAATCGGTCCAATTTACCGGATAATAACGAGATTTGTAACTCATATATGCTACCCTGTGTATTCTTTTTATATGTGGCATTTATAAATATCATAACAATATTGGTCAATTTTGTAGTTTAGAATCTGCATGGTTTATTGCAAAACTTTATGGCATCAAATCTCAGATATGTCACTATTTCTTATATGCATGTTTAGTACTCTGAGTACATGCATCTAAACATGCCAGCCTGTGAAAGAACCTCTATTATGCAATTTTTGATAATCCAAACGCTAACAATTTGTAACAATGTCTAACTCCAACAAACATAAGCCATGTTTGGAAGCTAATAATTAACTTCTTTGAATCTAAACGGATTCAGCTAATATCCTAGCTAATTGTTAGCTAATACCTAGCTAACAACTATCTCACTAGTTAGATAAAACTAGCTAATAGTTAGCTAGCTAATATCATCTTTTTTAGAAAAGCTAGCTAATATTAGCTATGATCTATTAACTAGCTAACTATTACCTCCTGTGTTTCTCTTATAAGAGCATTTCTAAGAGATTAGCCAAATTATTTTGTAAAGCTAAATATAGTTAGTATTAGGAAAAAATCATCTTCAAAGGACTAGGTAAATGACTCTCTAAGTAGTCATGTATTTCACACATTTCGCTCTCTATTTTTGGATAGCCTCTGTCACTCGCCATCCATCATCTTCCGGTGTGCTGCATGTATAATAAACGAGAAGGCAACAACATGCACATCTTGTCTGTGATTGAGACCTGTTGACATGGCACTTTCTCAAGCCTGTTGACGTGGAACTTTTGAATATTGATACTAAATTTTAGAGAGTCCGTTGGAGTAGGCTAGTCTCTTTTTTTGTGAGATCTATTTTACAAAATAGCTAAATCAGCAAATTTGGCTATTCTTTTGGCTAATCTCTTGAAGATGCTCACAACTTAACTTGTGGTCTCTAAAATTATACTTTAACTATTTATTTATTTTATTTTATATTATTTGTGTTTATAAACTTATAGTAATTAGATAGGACATTTGATTGTAAATCTAACTCTATCAAGTATATATTATATAATAGTTTAAAATTGATAGATCAGTCTCAATGTGAGTTTTATTTGCATTAAATAGGTTGTCACGTAGATATTTTTTATGACATGACAATGTATTTAAGAAGAGAGAGAAGAAATGAGGATGAAACTCTCTTGTCACGATTACTCTCAATCAGTCATGAAATCAATCATCTATAAAACTATAAAATAAAACTTTGCATTGAGAGTAGATGTTTCATCCAAGTTTTATTTCATTCTATATGACATGACAATGTTGGAAACAATGTCATGAAACTATCCACTGAGTCTGACTAAATTATTGGTTAAAGAATTTTAAATTTCGAATCTTGATACGCATATCGTTTTCCCTTTTTTTTAATCGATCCGCATGGCGTCTGACTGATCCAAACACGGCAAGAATACAAAGGGAGTGAAACGGAAGTTCAGCGGAGGCTGCGTACCATGGCACCGCCGCCCTCATGTCAGCCGATGACGCCAGACGACCTGCCACTGCCAGGCTGCCAGCCGCCGGAGAGCAAAGCCACCGGCACTCGTGGTCGCGAGTCACCAGTCACCACCCACCACGCGACCCATGGGACAGCGACCCGGCGCTCCCATGCTACTCTCGCTGCCGTTGGACCCCGCGCCTCAGAAAATGTGGCCACGCCTACCACGTGCTGGGCCCCTTTCCCTCGTCCGTCCCAGGAGAGGGGACTGAAACGCGGGGCCCGTTTCTCACCTGGTGGGCCCACCTTTTCCCGTTATAATCCGCGCAGCGCTCTCCGTATTTGGGCACCAACACAAAATCTGGGACTTGGCCCATTCCACGATCCAGAGGACGAAAATCCAAAAGGGCGCTGAAGCCAGAAAGGGAGGCGTCGGCGTGGCGTCGGCGACGCGAGGCGATCCCTGATCCACCACACATCTCGAGGAGGGGCCCGGAGGCCCGTCCAGCGTCCACCCGCTCCCGCACCTCACCCCATCGCTTCGTCGCTACGCAGTTCGGTCCACCTATCGATCCCTCCTCATCGCTTTTTATTATTCCTTTCTTTTCATTTGCCCCTTCGTCGCTGCTCTATTTCGCGGCCGCCTCCCGTCCTAATAATAGTCGCCGCGGGCAGTGGATACCGCCACCGCCACCACCGCCATGGGAGCGCTCGAGGAGGCCTACCTCGCGGCCGCCGCGTGCGCGTGCCAGGAGGAGGAGGAAAGCGACGACCTCGGCCTGCTCGCCGGGGACGCCGCAGCGGCGGGCGACGCCATCGAGCCGGCGGTGCGCGCGCTGCTGCTGGGGCTCGGCGAGGACGACCGCCGCGAGGGCCTGCGCCGGACGCCAAAGCGCGTCGCCAAGGCCTTCCGCGACGGCACCCGAGGTACGGCGGACCCACCGCTTCCCCACCTCTCCGTTGTCCCGCTCCCCTGACTTCGTGGATCCGTCGGTAACAATCGTCCCCGTGCTTTGTGTGGAAAATGGCGTCCTCCCTGATCCGTGGTTGTCCTGCCGTCGTGGAGTGGTGCTCTTCAGCATACACCACGCTAGAGAGCCTAGTGGAGAACAGAATAACAACTCCGTGTGGCATTTGAACACGTATGGTTTTGTTCGGATCTCGCGACGAGG